GGCACATGGTACAGAACGCTGGTCATTGGTAACCAGAAATGCACAGAGATTACCAACAGCCAGCACACACTTAAGTACGAGAGCGTAAGAAACTACCAGTCAAGACTTAGGTTTCAGAACACACTTCAAAGCCCCTTTCATCTGCCCCCAAGAGACAGTAAAGTTCCCACTGAGCTCTCCACACCTCTCGCGGTGGCCGGGAATGAATGGCTATGAATGAGGCAGGGAACAGGGCCCCGTCCTCCACCTAGGGAGAGACCCCAAGAAAGGCGCCCGCCCTGGGGAGCGGGGATCCGCCAGCCCACCTTGTTGAGCTCCTCGATCCTCCGCACCAGGTACGGGTTGCTGGAGGAGTTCTCGAAATAGACGTAATCTGCAGGTGGGAGGCCAGGATCAGGGCAGGGCAGGGCAGGCCGGGCCCGGAGAGCGAAGGGCCAGGTGCGAAGTCGCCCGCCGCCAGCGCAGACTCGGACCTGCACTCGGGGCGGCGGCTTCCGGAGACAGAGACCTGGCCCCGGCCCCGCGCCCGCCCGCGCCCCGGTTCCGGTTCCGGTTCCGATCCCGCGCCCGGCCCACGCGGCCCCCGGCGCCCAGTCTGCACTCACCCCCCACCCGGTACATGTTGGCCGCCATGGCCGCCGCCGCACAAAGGGCTCCGGGCCCGGGGCTGCGCTCGCCGTCTCCGCCGCCTCAGCCGTAGCGGATCATCCCGGCCAGTGGCGCCGCTGCCCTCCCGCCCGGTGCCTCGGCTCCTTCCGGAACGTGCGCTCCCACGCACCGGGGCCGCCCGCGCCTTCGCCCTCGCGCACTGCGACGTGAGCCTGCACTAGGGCTGCGGGAACACGCCAGCCGCCTCGGACTCGCCGCCTTCCGGACACCCAGCCGGCCGGAGAACAAGGCCTGCCGCTCGGCTCAGCTCGGCCCCTTCCGGAGCTGGCTCGGCTTCTTCCGGCCGTTTCCGCCGCGGCTTGGCTCCTCCTCCGGGGCGGGGCGGGGCGGAGCACAGCGCGGTTAACCCTCGGCGCTGCGGGCTGCGTGGACGGGCTCGGCTCCCTCTGGCCCTCGCCCCTAGATTCCCGAGGCGCCCAGCCGCTCCCCACGAAGGCACCAGAAGGCGACTTAGATCTGTTTATTGCCCCTCAGCAGGCAGCGGGTCAGGTGGGGCCGGGCTGGGGCGGCCCGGCGGGCAGATCCGAGTGCGTGGCGCCGGGAATGTCGAGCGGGAGCGGGACCGCCCGTCACACGTCCAGGGAGGAGGCGGGGGACAGGGAGGGCGTCCGCGACGGCGTGGCGGCCCCCGCGCCCAGCACGCGCCACTGGAAGATACTGGCGTCCTTGCCGCCCAGCGAGACGAGGTACGCGTCGTCGTGTGTGAACCGCACGCTGGTCACGTGGCTGCCGTGGCCCGCGAACACGCGGCTGGGCGCCTGACCGGAGGAGAAGGTGAAGCCCCCCTAGCCCCCCCCTCGCCCCGCCCAGCCCAGCCCCGCCCCCGAGGCTGACCTTAGCGCGCGCGCACGGGTACTGGAAGAGGTGCACTTTGCAGAAGTCGTCGGCCACGGCCACCACGCGCTCGTTGTGGGAACGGCACAGGGAGTTGATGTCTGTCCCGTCCGAGCCATCGGGCCACACGCCTGGGACCGCGGGAGGTCAGGGCCGCCCCGCCTCGGCACAGCCCTCCGCCGCCCCGGCCCGGCCGCACTCACCGTACACGTGGAAACCCAGCACGCAGGTGTAGGTTGCCCACTCGCGGTCGCGGCTCTCATAGCGATTCCTCAGCAGCTTGCAGCCCCCGGCCACGTGCCCTGGGGACAGAGAGCCTCAGCGCAGCGGTCCCCGCGCCTTGCCGTGGCAATCGCACCACCCCCGTGCCTCCAGTCCCCCTCCCCGGGGCTCTAGGTGCCTCCGTCCTTTCCTGGGAGCTGCCCTCCCACCCCCTGAGAAGCTCCGGGGTTCCCTCATCGAAGTGTTCTGTGACCTGCCTGCTTCTCCCAGCCATAACTTCCGCCTGTGTGCACGGGTCCAGCTCCACCTAACAAACCAGTCGGCCACCACCTGTGCATCTGACGGCCCCTCAGTCTGGTGTTCCCCGAGTATCTCCCATCCCTGGGCCAGGAGCCCCCCCAAATAAAGCCCACCCCAGCCGCTCACAGTAAAGAATCTCGTAGTCCCCGGAGTTGGACATGATGAAGTTGCCGTCCTTGGACCAGTCGAGGTGAGTGATGAAGCTAGAGTGACCCTGGGGACAAGGGGCAACGGTTTAAAAATGGAAGGGACGGAGGAAAGAGGCAGTGAAGAGACAAAGTGAACACGTGGTACACTGTAGATGTGGATTAATAAACATTGCTTTAAATATGTCTAAATAAAAAAAGCTTAAAATTGTAGCCACCAGCTGGATGTGGTGGTGCATGCCTGTAATTCTAACACTCAGGAGGCTGAGGCAGGAGGATTGCCGACACGAGGGTCAGCCTGAACTGCATATCGAGACCCAGTCTCAAAAAAACAACCAAAAGTAGCCAGCGCTTCCCATCCCACCCCCAGAGCACCAGGCCCTGTCAGTGCACACTCACCAGACCCACCCGCCACCCCAGCTTCCTCACCACACAGCGGCCAAAGCGGCTAGACTTGGCCCCATCACTGGAAACACTGTAGATGTAGATGGTGTTGTCATGGGAGCCAATGGCCAGGTACAGGCCGTCTGTGGAGACAGTCACTCAGAGAGGGAAGGGGGGCGGGTGTGATGTCCAGGGTAGGGGTGGCTCCCACCTGGGCTGTACCGGACGACTGAGAGCTGCTCGTTGCCATCAGTGACATCAGACACGATCTCCCTGGTCTCTGTGTCCAGAACCAACCACCTGGCAGGGAAAGGAGGTGGCAAGAAGCAAAATGCACCCCAACCTCCATGGAGCCCCTGGGCAGAGTGGGGAATGGCAAACCAGAAAGCCTCAGGCTGTGATGCCAGAACTCTGAGAGGCTGAGGCAGGAGGTGGCAAGTTTGAGTCCAACCTGGGCAACTTAGCGAAAGAGCAAGACCTTGTCTCAAAATTTAAAAGGGTCTGGGGCCAAGTAAGCTGTAATCTCAGCACTCGGGAGGCTGAGGCAGTAAGGTAAGTACAAGTTTGAGCCTAGGGCTACAGTGAGTTTAAGACCAGCCTGAACTACATAGAGATCCTGTCTCAAAAAATAAATTAATAGATAAATGGGCTGCAGATGTACCTCAGTGCAAAACCCTGGGGTTCAATCCCCAGCACTGCAGAAAAAGGGAAAAACCCAAGGTTGTCAGGTAGAAGAGAGGTCACCACCACACTTTAAGGCTGGGAAATGAGCAGATCAAAGTGAGGGGCTTCTGGAGCCGTCTGGGAAAGAAGCAGGAAACACAGACCAGGCCTGTGTGGGGCACTCGGTGCCACATTCCTCCTCAGCTCCCCGGCCCACCTCGTCCCTCCTGGGAGCCCAAAGCCCTCACCTGCCAGTGTTCAGCCCCACAGCCACGACCGCCCCGCTCGGGTGGAAGTCAGCACAGAGACCAGTCTCCTGCCAGGGAAGGAGGGTTAGGGGGTCAAGGTGCCTTCCAGAGAGGGAGTGAGGACGGCACTGGTCCCAACCCTTCAGAGCCTCCTGAGGTGGGGGACGGGAGATTGGGTCCCTAGAGCCTCAGCAGCTTGCCAGGGGGAGTGTCCCCCAGCAACAGGCACAGCACAAAGAGTTCCTGAGCACCGAGCAGTGGACAGCAAGGCAGCTTGGCTGGAGGGACCCTGGCTCTACCTTGAGGTCCAGGCTCCAGGCCAGCGCGTGGCCCTCCCCATCCCACAGGCAGAGCTGCCGGTCGTGGCCGCAGGTGAGGAAGCAGCTCTGGGCAGGGTGTGTGCAGAGTCCCCAGAGCTCATCCGTGTGGCCCTGCAGCAGAGCCGAGCAGAGCAGAGCGCTGTCACCACTGCCCTTCCCAGCACCCCACCCGCCAGCTCCGGTGCCAACCTGGATGACCGCGGAGAACCCCTGAGCCAGGTCTCCTCTCAGGAGAGCGTTCTTCGTGGTCCCCACCAGCAGCTCGGCACCCGGCCCCTCTGCGATGGCCCGCACAGCTCCGAAGTGCTCCGGGATCTGCAGGTGGGAACAGGTGTCCAGGGCCCACCGAGGACCGCTCCCCCTCCTGGGCCCCAGCTTGCCCTCACCTCTGTCTCCTGGAGGGCCACCAACCCCGGCCCCCACTGCACCAGCCGGCGGTCTCGGCCGCCACCACTCAGCAGCGTCCCATCCCGCCGGAGACATAGGGCAAAGATGGAACCTTCATGAGCATGAGCTTGGGCCACAATCCCATAGGTCTCTGCGGACAAAGCCCCAGGAGTCGTGATCTTGGCGTGCGTGGGGAGGGGCATCGGGACAGAATAGTAAATGCTTAGCTATCGAGCACTGGCTGGGTACCATCCTTCATCCTCACAGCCCTCACACAGCTGCGATTCTTCCCACTTTACAGATGGGACCGCTGAGGCTCAGAGAAGTGAGGTTATTTCCTAAAGGCCAGGTGACCAGCAGCAAGCTGAACTCTGACCATCCCTCAACCCACTGCCCCTCCTAGCCCAGGCCCCCAGAACCACGAACTCCAAGGTGGAGAGAGGGGGACCGTCCCCTCGTCCCCACAGATCCTCCAGCTGCAGCTGTCCCAGCTGCAGGGACCACGTACCTTTGGCCCCACCCCTGCCTGGCATCTTGGAATCAGAGAGGCTCCGACCCCAGGTGAGAATGTTCCCCTCTGAGTCCCCCGTGAGGATGTCACCATCCGGGAGGAAGACAAAGCAAGGGATGAACTTGGGTTTCTTGTATTTCTGGGGGCGGGGCCAGAGATGAGAGTTAAAGGCAACACCCAGGAGTCACAGGACGGCTGGGGGCTGGGTGCATCAGGGCTCCAGGACTTAGCCTCCCGGCCTCACCCCGAAGACACCCTGCTTGCGCGCCAGGGTGTTGTTCCCTGGAGCCCCTGTCCCACCGCTCCAGTTCCAGAAGTGGACGTGGGATTTCCCACTTGTGACGATGCAGCTGCTATCACGAGGGCTGAAGCCAACAGCCAGGACTGAGTCGTTTGTGCTCTGAAGGGAGAAGACACAGGGTTCAGCCACCCCCAGCCCTGAGCACCCACATCCCTGCAACTCTTCAAGGGCACCCTAGCAGCTGCTCTGCATCCAGTGCCCAGCATGGCCAGAAGAACTGTGGCCCCCACTGCACAGACGACGCCAGCTAGACGGGCGTGGGGGTCTGCCAGAGCTGCGGCCAGGGAGGGCGTGCGCGCCACCTGGTGTCCCCACCTTGATCTCAGCCAGCTTGGTCCCCCGGCTGCAGTCCCACACGGACAGCATGTGCTCGTTGGAGTCATCCACCACACAGAGAAAGGCTCCCTGGTCCTGGGGCGCAGGGAGGGCCTGGTAAACACTCCGGTTCAGGCACCCAAGGGCGTCAGGCAAGGGGCAAATGAGTTGACACGGATCCTTTCCAGGAAAAACGGGCTCGGAGCAGCTCAGGAAGGCTGGTGAGGCTTCCTGGGGGCGTGGAGGGAGTCTGGGGCCCTAGGCCAGCTCACCGCTAGGGAAAAGGCCAACGCCCCCACACCGCGCTCGAAGGCACCCAGTCCAATCTCCTGCAGCTTTAGCAGTGTCTCTGAGTCCCAGACGTGGACCACTGGCTGCAGGGGCTGCACAGGGGGAGGAGGCGCAGGGCGGATGAGGACTAGGGGCTGGGCCCAGCCGTCTGCCCAGGGGTCCAACTGCAGCCTTACCTTGCCATCCTTATCCACGCCAGCTGTCTGTCCCGAGGCCACACGGACACCGTCAGGGTGGACAGCGAGGCTAGGTGGGAGGGGACACGTTAGGGAGGGTGGCCTACCCCCAAGGCCACCAGAGTCCCCTGCTCTTGGCCCCTGCTGCCCAACAGCCCCTCCTCCTGCCAGGCCCGCCCCGGGCCGGGCCCTCACCATCTGACACAATCGCTGTGCCCCCGGTAGTGTCTCTGACTGCCGCCTCCAGGCCCCCCGGGGCCTCCCCCGGGCCGGTACAGCACCACGACGCAGGCAATGAAGTAGACCACCTCCCCGGAGCGCAGCACAAACAGATTGGAACGGGAGTCCCGGCCCCGGTACCCATACCTGAACAGGGGCCAAGTCAAGGAAAGGAACCGGTTCGGCAGGCGTAAGGAGAGGGAGACAGCGCAGTGTGTGGTGGGGGAGAGCAGCACTCATGGCTCCCGTCCCCTGGGGCCCAGGAGGAAGCTGGGGGAGGGCTTCCCTGGGATCCAGGCAGGATACACCCAGTCAAGGCCGAGGGTCTCAGGGGGCAGGCCGCTGGGCAGCTCCTCAAGGCTGCGGACGCCAGACGGGATGTACATGGTGATAGGCCGGCCACGGAGGAACATCTTCACCGAGATGCCTTCTGCCAGGGAAGTGGGTATCACACCTCAAGCCAACATCGAGGAGAAGTCCTGGGGCTGAGCCCAGCCCTGACCCCAGCCCCAGGGTCTTCCTCCATCCTGCGCACGTACCCAAATTGTAGTTGCTCCTCCGAGACCCTGGACCCCCAGGGCTGCAAAGGGGATCTTTGCCCCCACGGCTGTAGGGGGAGAGAAGTATAAGGACCAGGGACTGCGGGCGGGCATGAGAAAGCAAGGTGCTGCAGAGCCCGGTGACCCCCAGGCTGGCATCTGCCAAGTTTGGGCAGTGCCACTGACGAGATGAGAGCGCCTCAGCACCCGGGAGGCTGAGGCAGAAGGATCACAAGTTCACGCCCAGCCTGGCAACTTAGTGAGACCCTGACTCAGAGGTAAGTCAGAAGGGCTGAGGATGTAGCTCAGTGCGAAAGCCCTAGGTTCAGTCCTAAGTACCACCAAAAATCTTGAAAAGAATTTTGTTTTAAAGAGCTGGGGATATAGCTCAGGGGTAAAGCATTTGCCTAGCATGTGAGAGCCCTGGGTTCACGCCCCAAAAGACTGAGAGAAACGACAAGACCAGGCCACACAGCCCTCACAGGCAACACCAGCACCAGTGCCCTCCACGCCCCCGGGTGGCACGGGTGCGGGGAGTCCAGACTGAGCCCGGCCTCGTCTGTCTGGAGACCATTCTCCGCTGAAGGGGAAAGGGACAGGTGAATCCAGAGGTCACTGTCATCACGTGCTCAGGCAACACTGTCTCCTCAGCAGGAGTCCTGCCTCCAGGGGTCCCTCTGTCCCCTCCCAGCAGGAAGAGCACAGTGCCTGCGCAGTTTGAGGACAGGCACCTTCGCGGATCACAGGAGCTTCAGGAAGGGCGTCGAGGCCTGGGAGGTGATGCGCCTCCTGGAGGTCCTGGGGCTGAGTGCTGGGGATGGGGACCGGCGGGCCACGAGGTGGGGCCCCAGGAGGGAAGCACGTGCCCCTGCGCACCTCTCCGTGCTCCCACAGCGCAGCAGCAGGTTGGCGGAGGACACTGCCTTGCGGGAGAGTTTCTGCCGGGGCCACTCCGAGGGAGAGGAAGAGGATGAGTTTCTCCGGGGCCTGCGGGGCAGACAGGCAGGTGGCACCCAGGTCCCCAGGTGCAGCCCTCCTGCAACCCAGGGGCCCAGGTCACCTACGTGTCCACGTGTGCTGGGGGCTGCGCTGCCCAGAGCACCCCAGGAGGGCCTGGCCCCCCGGTCCCGCCGCTGCAGCCTTCAGAGGGAAGCCCACCAGGCGCCTCCCTGCCCGCCTGCAGGCCCGGGGGGCCGTTGCTCAGGCCAGCAGGCCCCAGGCTCGGCACGGCGTCCTCCTGCATCTCTGTCTGAGTGCCCCGGCTCACCAGGGCCGGGCTGCAGGGTACTGCGGGGCTGAGGTGATACCAGGAGGGAGGAGGCGAGGCGTGTGCCTGCGCCCGCCCCCCCCTCCCCCGCGCCTTTCCGCCCGTCCCCATCTGTCCCTGTCCCGTCCCAGGCCTGGGCCTTTCCTCACCTGTCCCCGCCCCCGTCCCTGTCGAGGGGTCGCAACCGCAGCAGGCGCAGCGCCTCGGCCAGCGCGGCCTTCACCAGCTCCATCTCCTCCTCCTGCGCCCGCAGCCGTCGGCTCAGCGCTCGCAGCGCCTCCGGGGCCGCGCCCGCACCTGGATGGACCCGGGGCGGTGAGTGGGGAACGGAGGCGGTGGGATGGGGCTGGGAGGACGGCGACGCGCCGGACCTGAGCACCGCGACGGGGCGGGCCGAGGCGCCACCACCCGGGTGACAGCGGGAGGGTCAGGGCGGGGCGGGGACGGCCGCCCGTGAACTCACCGGGCCCCGCGGCCCCGTCCATGCGGCCCGGGGCTCTGAGGCGGCGTCGTCTACTCCGCCGCTGACTCAGCCCTGCCCGTCCCCATGCGGACCGAGGCACCGTGGGCGGCGGGCTCGGGACCGCGCAAGCAGCCGGACGCCGGCGCAGGAAGCGCAGGCGGCGCGGCCCCTCCCCGTCCGCTCGGGTCCCCGCCCCGCAGGCAGCGCCGGACCCCACTTCCGCGGGCTGTTCCCACGGAAAGGGGCGGGGCAGTCCCCAGGGACGGCAGTGTCCCCGTGGGGAGGGAGAAGGGACAGTGTCCAGGCTGCCCCCACGGAGGGGGCGTGGCCGAAGGGACGGCCGCGGGGCGCGCGCCCAGGGTATTGGGGTCAGGGCTGCGTTAGCCTGCTCGAGCCGGGCTGCGCTGACTCAGCCCTGTCCGTCCCTGTTGTCCCTGTCCAGTCCTGTCCAGTCCCATCCCGTCCGCCCGTCCCGATGGCCCCCGTGCTGGCCCTGCCTCTGCCCCGCGGGGCCCGTGTGCGCCTGGCACAGGGGCTGTGGCTGCTGTCTTGGCTGCTGGCGCTGGCGGGCAGCCTGGCGCTGCTGGGTGCCTCGTATCTCCTGGCACAACTTCGAGCCCTGGGCGCCTTCCTGGCCCCGAGCTGCCACTTTCTGGCAGTCCCCCAGGCTGCGCTGCTGGCCGGCGCCACGGCGCTGGCAACCAGGCTGGGGGTCGCGGGTGCCAGCCGTGCCAGCCTGGATGCCTCTTGGTACCCAGCTTGTCGAGCCCCACTAGGCCCGCTGCTGCTGGCAGGTGTGCTGGGCGGTGGGGGCCTGCTGCTGGCTGCCTTGGGGCTGGCCTTGGCACTGCCCGCAGGCCTGGACACAGGGCTGCAGGAGGGCCTGGGGGCTGCCCTGGCCCACTACAAGGACACAGAGATGCCAGGGCACTGCCACGCTAAACGGCTGATGGATGAGTTGCAGCTCAGGCACCGGTGCTGTGGGCACCACGGCTACAAGGACTGGTTCAGGGTCCAATGGGTCAGCAGCCGCTACTTGGACCCCAGCGACCGGGATGTGGCTGAGTGACTTCTGTCCCCCCCTCCTGTTCCCTGGAGGACCCCACACACCCAAATGGGCAGCGGCAGAGGCCTCCAGAGCCATGGCCACAGCTTTGCCAGGATCACTGTGCAACCCTGGGCTGCTGTCAGCCACCCAGGTGGGCTGGGCCAGGCCTCTCCACTGTGAACCAGTGGTAGCGGTGCTTGCCTCCACGAGTAGTCTTGCAGGTAAATGAATCATGCACGCCTGGCGCCCAGCAGACGCCCATAAACACTGCACCACATCTTTCCCTTCAGAGACCCCCCAGCTCTGTAGACTCATGACACCGTCTGTCGTTCCTGCAGCCGCATCCAGAGCAACGTGGAAGGCCTCTACCTGACCAATGGTGTCCCCTTCTCTTGCTGCAACCCCCACTCGCCTCGGCCCTGCCTGCAGAGCCGCCTCTCAGACCCCTATGCCCACCCACTCCTTGATCCCTGGCAGCCCAACCTCAACCTCTGGGCCCAGGGGTGCCACGAGGTGCTGCTGGACCATCTGCAGGGCCTGGCAGGGACCCTGGGCAGCGTGCTAGCCTTCACCTTCCTGCTGCAGGTGAGGGGGACACCCTCCCCAGACTCCCCTGCCCTGGGGACCCCACCCCACAGGCCCATCCACACTCTTCCTCACTCTCTGCAGGCAATGGTGCCCCTCAGCCTGAGGTACCTACAGATGGCGCTGGAGGGGCTTGGTGGGCACATCGATGGGGAGGGGGAAACCCAGGGCTACCTCCTCCCTGGAAGGCTCAAGGACATGCCAAAGAGAGCCTGGCTGCAGGGAGGGGGTGCCCAAAGGCGAGCGCCTGCCGAGATGCCTCCAGAAGAGGCCCCTGCCAAGGAAGACCTGCCTGAGGCTTAGGTGCCAGGCAGGTGGGGCAGGGTGCAGATGTGCGGAACTCGGGTCCTTGCTGGGAGGAAGCTACAGAGCCAGAACTGGTGCCTTCATCTGCTCTGTGGCTGAGGTCAGGGTAACCGAGGTGAGAAGAAGGACTCGATGCTGCTTCTGGACACAGGCTCCATAATAAAGCTTTGGAACAGAAGCCACTGTCACGGGGATGTCTCTTCATGGGATGGGCCCTGAACAAGTGAGTCTGCCCTGGCAGAGGCCGGGGCCTGCGCAGGAAGCAGAAGGGGTGTGCTACACAGAGAGAACCAGAGGCCCCGGGCCAGGTGTTTATTCCGGAGGCAGGAGAGGGTTCACATGCTCGGGTATGGAGGGCCCGGCCCAGCTCCCCGACCCCCAGCATGCCATCCCAATAAGTTACCCATCCCCCCAGTCCATCTGTCCCCTGTCCCACCCACCCAGGGCTGACCGCTTGTCCCCAGTCTACAGCCACTGCTGCATGGCAGTTCTGCCAGGGATGAGAGGCACCTGGGCCATGCCCTGGTTGAGCGGTCAGGCCTGGGAATCCCACAAGGTATGTGCCCAAAGTGAGCCGAGTCGGAGCAGGGCTGTCACACCTCCACAGCCGGGTCTGAGCCCTGGCCTTGCCGCTGCATCTGCTCCTCCTGCTTCATCTTGGGCTTCTCTGTCCGTGTGTGCCATACTAGCACCTGTCAAAAGGATTCCAGGTGGGGGCAGGCCAGGCTACAGCCAGACAGCTGGGTCCTTCCAGCCCTCTATGCTCAGTGGTGGCTGCAAAAAGGGTTATGCTAGGAGCCAGGTGAGACTGGTTCCTCTAAAACGGGCTTCTGTCTCTCTGCCCTGTCATGCCATGTGGTTCCCATGGTTCCCAGAGATAGGGCCCACCCTCCCCACCCTCCCCACCCCCCCCCCCCTCCCACCCCAATCCCAGCTGCCCATTCAGTAGAGCAAGCAGGGTGGATAAGGGGTCTGAGTCCACCTTGGTCAAACACCTAGCCCCAGGGTCACCCCACACCCCCCGCACCTGCCCACCCGGCCCAGGTCCCAGCCTCCACCTCCCTACCCTGGTACAGTTGGCAGCCCGTGGCTCCAGGTCCTTGGGGTCCACAAGGCGGCTCAGGAGGCTGCTCTCCAAGTGCCCCCGGGGGGCGGCAGCATCAAACCGTGCATCAGGCTTGGCCAGCAGGAGGGGCAGGGCGACCGCAAACCCAGCCATGTCCACAGGGAAGGGCCTAGTGGGCTCCCATGCTGTATGGAACCCCACCACCCGGCCATCCTGCACCCTAGGGCCCTCGAAGCGCAGGCCCCCTACCAGCCCCACCGGCCACACTGAGACACGGCGGGTCCAGCGCATCTGCCAGAAATCAAGAGAGGAGATGGTATGGGTCAGGGAGTGGGGTGGGGGGCAGAACCATGTGGTGCCCTCCACCCAGCACACCCAACTTCACCCTGCTCCTGCCCCATCACCTGCACCCCTCACCTCTTCAAAGAGCGCCCTGCTATAGGTGTTGTCATCATCAGCAAAGTACACGACTCCTGGGGACCCAGGGGATGGCGGGTCCTTCTCCCCACCAACGGCGCCCCCTTGGCCCCGGAGCCAGGCCAGGGCTCCATTCCGCTGCTCCACACCCCGGGGCCGCATCCAGCCAGGCTCACCCTCCCGGAGCTGCTGGGCCTTGGGCGTGAGGACAGCCAGGTGGGTGAAGAGGAGTCCAGAGGCAGCCAACAGCCCTGAGACCAGTGGGGTGGGGCCCTCGGCATCCTCCACCAGCAGCCAGTGCAGCCGGGGCACCAGGCTCAGGGTCTGAGACAGCCTCACCAGCTCAGCCTTCTGCACCAGCCTGTGGGACAGGCAGAAAGGTGCACTGCAGCCACGCTCTTCTCCCACTGAGCGCTGACACTCATCTGCCCTGCCCTTCCACCCTGGGGCTCTGCAGGGGATGGGGTCCTGTTAAGTTAAGGGCAGATGGATCTGGGTTGGCAGTATCAGGTGAGACACCAGGAGAAATGGCCAGATTTCCACCTCAAGTCTACCCATCTGTGAAACAGGAATAACCATACTTGATGACAATACTGTTTTAAAAAGTAAAGATAAGCCTTGTTCATTCTAGCCAAGCTCATTTAGTCAGGATTTTTCTTAAACCCTAAGAAAGATTAATTCAATGGCAAGCTCAAAATTTCTGAGTGAAACTTTAAAACATTTGGTTCATCTATCCCATTGTTTGGCATGCTCTAGTTTAATAAGACCAGTGCCTCCCAAATTCATCTCCAACCCCAACTTCTGGGAGGATGCAGTCCTCCTGGGTGCCCAGCGCCCATACCTGGCATAGGTGGGGGTAATGACGTAGATGGTGGGCAGGGCCTCAGGTTCAGGGGGCTGGGCAGGGACAGCAGGCGGACGGTGGAGATCAGTCTGCAGCTGGGAAATCCTCAGATCCTTCTGCCGGAGCTGCTCCGCTGCTGCTCGCAGGGCAGGGAGGCAGTCGCAGGGCTGGCCTGGTCCCAGGAAGCAGCGACAAGGAAAGGGGTGGGGACAGCGAACCACAGACGGTTCACAACCCAGCCATTTACCCCGAGCCCAAGCAGGTTCCCCTTGCACTTCTCTCTCTGCCTGTCTGCACCTCTGGCGTGCGCAACGCGCTGCCTCAACAGCACCTTCTCTCCATCTTTAATGCATTCCATAATTTTCTTTTTGCAGAGCTGGGGATGGAACCCAGAACCTCGCACATGCTAAGTAACCGCTCAGCACCGTGCTGCACCCCTGCCCTGGGAGTTTTTATCTGGATATTGAGCTGATTGCGTCCATCCTGTCCCCTGGTCGGTCTTCACTTCAGCTCTGGATTCCTAAGGGAACAGGTGTGCATGCCGGACTGGGTCGGTGTCACCGGGCTAGGGAACAGTCAACCTGCACAGGAGCTCCCTGGCCATGCGCAGAGACTCTGGGCCGGCGTGAGCGGGCGTCTGTCGCCCGCTCCAGGGGACACTGCCCAGGTACCAGGGGTGCGGCCGGGACAAAGCACCCCACGCCAGCGAAGACGCGGACAGTCCGACAGCACACGTGACGAGGTCACGGGAACCATGCCTGGGCCGCAGGAGGGGTCGCGCGGCACGGGGGGAGGCCCGCCCCCTGCTCACCCAGCTGCACCAGCGCGTAGAGCAGGCCAGCGATCGACACCAGGAAGTAGACAAGGAACACGTTCTTCAACTTCAGCTTCATGGCCGCGCCGCAGCGGGCGCCCCACCCGGCGAGGTCCCCGGGTACTAGGGTGTCCACGCCCCCGCCTCCAGCCCCCTCCCCTGCCGCAGGCCCCGCCCCACCGCGCGGCCCCGCACCGGCTCCCGGCAGCGGGGCCAGGCAGCGCCGCCCGGGGCCCACTTCCGGTCATCGATGCCCTCCCACCACCAGCTTCCGGTCCCACGGCTTGCTTCCCGCCCGGGGCTGCGGCGTCACATCCGGTGTGTGGGCGCAGGGCCGGAAGCCCGGCGGAGCTTGTGGAACGCGGTTCGAGACTTGTCCCCGAGCTCAAGCTGCGTGGGTAGTAATTTCCCCACGCTTGGTCATACGCCCAGCACCCGGGCTCCGCGCTTCTGGTACAGATGGGGAATCCAGGGCTGCGCCGGAGTGCTCACTGCGATCCTGAAAGACCGGGGCTGGGGTGCAGCGCACCCAGCCCTGCGAAAGAAAACCGTGCTCTCTTCTGCAGCACATACCGTATACTAAAACTAGAACGATACAAGGATGGCCCCTGCGCAATGTTGACACGAAAGTTGTGAAGCGTTCCCTATTTTATATATTTATTTTTTGGTACAGGGGATCGAACTCGGGACCTTGCACTTGCAAGGCAGGCGGTGGAACCACTAAGCTACATCCCCGGCGCATAGGGCAATTTGCTATGTCCGTGTAGATAACCAGCTCCAGAACCTGTGCTGTTTCTTCTGGCCCACTTCTTTCCCTCAAATACCGCGTGAGGAGGTGCTCAGGCAGCGTGCCGCCTCGAACTGAACTTGCTAGCTGGGGACCCTGAAGCACATTGCTTACTCCCACAAGCTATCCCTAACATTCTTCCTTAAAAGACAAAAATTTCTTGTGAAATAGCTTCAAAGAGACGTGCTCAGTGTATGAAATAGAAGCTATTTCCTGTCACTGACAAAATAGGTTTTTTTAAACTGATACAGGATCATATTAATGTCTTAATACATGCATACATGCAACGTTCAAATAAGGGAAACCTTAGCCTTTTCCTTAGTTACTTCTCTAGTAGTGGAAACATTCAAAATCCTTTCTGTAGCTTTTATATCGATATTGATGTATACAGATACATATCAACCTGGCATGATGACACACTCCTGTAATCCCAGCACTGTGGGAGGCTGAGGCAGGAGAATCCCAGTTTGGGAAATTTAGCAAGACCCAATCTCAAAATAAAAAACGAGGCTGGGGATGTAGCTCAGGGTAAAGACCCGGGGTCAGTCCCTTCATAGTAGCACAGAAATGAAATGTACTGTATTTTCTGGAGTCATTCTGCTGTGCAGTGGAATGCCAGAACTTCTCAACACTGGATAATTTCTTTCTCCACCTCCCCTGAATGGGAGTTTTGTTTTGGAGACAGGATGTCCCATTGCCTGAGGTAGTGTGAACTCCTGAGCTCAAGGGATCCTCCTGCTTCAGCCCCGAGTAGCTTGGGCTAGGCTGGCACCCAGTTCAACGAGGGGATTTTCTTTTTAGCCACCCCTCTCCAAACGGGGAGATTTTAAAGTGCTGTTGGCTAGAGAATCACCTTTGGTGTCAGAACATCTGACCTAGCTACTGCTACCCACAGAGACATGGTAAGCACTGGCCCCCTTCCTACCTAGGCCTGCTAAGCCTGGCCCTCCTGAGAGCACGGTGGGTGGAGCAAGCCAAGAGAGGCTGGTGTGAGCTTGTTTTGCTAAAATGAGGCAGCTTGGACTGGGGATGTAGCTCACTGGGGCTGCACCTGCTTTGAAAGCACGAAGTTCTGAGTTCAATCCCGGGTACCAGAAAAAATATATATACAAATAAAATAAAATAAAATGAGGAAGCCTGTGATAAAGCCAGATGAAAATGTTAGGCCCTTCTGCCACCTGCTGCCAAAGCACAAGGACCTGAGTTTGATCCCAGGTAGCAAAAAAGGTTAGGCCCTGGGCCTTCTACAGTATGCTGCTACAACTAGAATCCAGACACCTGGAGATTATGTGTGGTTTATCTCTTTATTGTTTCTTTTATCAAAACCTGTCACAGTTGGGGCCAAAAGGTAAAATAAAAACTTCCCACCCCTCCCCCGATGTGGTTCCCCATTGGTCCTGCCGAACCCCACCCAGGGCTTCAGGCCAAACCTGGGCACACATGATCATCTTCCCCACCAATAAATACAGGTGACTGTGATTCCATGAAACCCCCACCACTCTCCCCCCAAGGGGACCAGAAAGGAAAAAGTTTAATGCCCATCCCTCTTAATAAGGAGGCACGGACACATTTTCCCCCAGGAACAGGAGGCAAAGCTACCCCGTCAGAACTGCGGCATCACTACAGGACTGAGAAGAGACTGGGAGGAGGGAAAGGACTTCTCCAGCAACCGCAGCTTTGATCCCTTCCGTCTCACCAAGTAAGGTGGTCCCAGTGTATCAGTGGGGAGGGGGCAACAGCCTGGCAGGGTAGAGCCAGGGAGAGGAAAGAGATGGGGGAGAGGAGAGCCCTAAATTCAGCCCCTTGTCTTCTTCCAAGGCATCAACACAAGAGATAGAGCAGGAGGGCTGAGGAGATGCCAGGGAATGGAGGGAAAGGCTTGGAACTGGCGAAGCAATGGAGTGGGGGAGGTCAGGAGATCACACAGGAACTGAGTCCAAGGCCACCCCTCTCATTCAGCCCAGATGTTCGTGGCATCTGGTCTGGGACAAGGAAGGTGAAGTCTGGGGCGGGCCAGCCTCTGAGGCAAGAGGACAGTGACCCCCAGCACCCCATGCCCACCCCTGGGTTATCGCAGGAGAATGCTCCAGTCAGAGGCCACGCTGACGCCAGGCTTGCGCAAGACCAGCACAGAGGTCTCGGGGTCGTGCTGGAAGGACAAGCGGCTCTCAGGCGACCCTGGAGGAAGCGAGAGGAGCCAGTCACTGCTGGGCCGCTTCCCTCCTGCGAGGCTGGCGCAGGCTCCAAGCCCCACGCTGGCCGTCCTGGCAGACGCCACGCACCTCGGGTCTGGAGCACCACGGCAGCAGGCTTCTCAACTCCCATGATCACCACCCGCTCAATCCAGACTGGCGTCTCAAAGTGGCCTCGGGGATCTGCGAAGCTGGAGTGAAAGGCAGGTGCCCAGGATGGGAAGGGGCCAGCAGCACTGTGCCAGGGAGAGCAGTGAGACAGTGGCCCGCTGCACACCCAAGGTGGCCATTACCTGGAGACCAGTGTACTGTTGGAGAAGGAGAACCGCCGCAGCAGAAACTCCTGGCGAGTCTGGTAGTTGAACGTGTGCCCGTCATCCAGGAAGAGCTCCCCTTGGGCCGTACCCTGAGCAGGAAGTGGGGGTGGAATGAGTCAGGCTGGATGGCTCATGTCCTGGGGGCGGCCAGATGGCCAAGCTGGGGACTCACCTGGGGGCTGAGGGCGACAAAGAGAGTGATAGGGTCATCCTTCATGCAGTCTGAGGAGCGCCGCACACGCATCCACCGGGGCACGATTGTCCCTCCTCGCTGGAACACGGGGATCTAGGGCAAGAGCACTGTGAGGCTGAAAGCCTCCAAGGCCCATGGCATCTGTGCTGTCATCCACCGGTGCCCATGCAGGTCCTTGGCCAAAGCTTGAACAAAGCATGTTCCCCGGTGGCTGGGCAGGCTACTCACACTGCTCAAAGTTACAGGCAGGTACAGAGTTTGTGGGCCACGGTGCTTCTGGTAGCTCTGAATGTCATACCACACCTGCAGGTGACAGCAGAGAAAGAGGCTAGGTCACTCTGCAAGGGGCCTGCAGCCCATCTGCTTTCTTTGGCTTCACCATCCTGCCCAGCAGCCTTTCCGTGACTCACCTCTTCGGGGCCAGGCAGATAGACCTGCACACCATGGGCCCCGGCATCTGACACAGGGTGAACCAGGAGCGCATCCCCTAGACAAACCAGAATCAACTCAGAACTGGGGCCCTTGCATGGCCCCTGGGGCTTGCAAACTCTGCCCAGGAGCACTGCCAGCCCAGCCCTCCCTCCTCACCAAGCAGGAACTGGTCATCGATGCTGAAGGTGGTCACATCCTGAGGATACTGCACCCACAGGGGTCTGCGCAGAAAGACAGGAGGATGTTGGCCATCAGTCGTACAAAGGAAGCCAGTCCAACCGACGGCGACAGAAATGTGTGCAACATTTCTAGTATTTCTTTTTTCTTTTTTGGTACTGGGGCTCAAACTCTGGTCCTTGCGCTTGCCATTTCTAGTATTTCTGATTGGCACACCCTCATAGGACTGGGTTTACACTCAGAGTGTTGTGAAGAGAAGGACTGATGTATGCTCAGACATGAACGCTTGTCACACAAGGGTGGGTTGTCAAAAAGGCCCCACAACTATGGCCTTGGCCTTAGGACCAGGCACGAGCCTGTGCCACCCTGGGCTGCCCAGAGCCTTACCTCTGCCTGCAGGCCACACCCTCATCCTGACCCAGTCCATCTGCCAGGAAAGGCCTCAAGCTCCCACCTGGCCTCGACCTCCTACCTCGAGGAGACAGTTTCCTCAAGCACCCTCCGCTCTCCAGGTGTCACACCAAGCTAAGGGTCAGGCTGGTGAGAGGAAGGGCCTTCCTACCTGGCTGGGGACAGCGACCGAGGCTTCCTTCCGAGCCACCGGCCTGGCCTTTCACTGCTCACAGGTCCAAGGTGCAGCTCACCCTGGGCATTCAAGGCAACCCCACAGCACCCAAATGTGTCCACTGACGTGGAATATGCCCCATGTGTCCCCCAACCCTTGTGGACACTGCTGGGGCATTCTGCAGTACTGGGCCAGCACCTACAGGGCTCAGGGCCCCTCAGTGCGGGCCCACGCCATTGCCACTCAGCTGAGGGCGTCTGGGGCTGACCTGCCAGGAGGACAGTGTGCGGGTGCTGAGCACTCTGTGCTGACTGCATCTGCTTGCTCTGTGGTCTCTCACTACAATTTTACCTGTGAACTGGAATATTCCTGCCCTGGGCCTGGGATTTAGCTCAGTGGTTCTGCCGCCTGCCTCGCAAGCTCAAGGTCCAGAGTTCGATCCCTGGTACCAAAAAA